GGGGATCGCTTAAAACACACCCTTCATGTCTCTCACAAAGTCATAATCAGCTGCAAAAGTGTACGTCATTTGGTTAACTTCCGGATTGCGAACAGCATCAGCCACTTTTCGTTACAGACACACCAGCAAACACACACACACACACACACACATACACATACATTGGAGAACAAATGATATTGTAGCTTCCAGTTGCATTTGAAGCGGAACTAGACCTTCGGCTTTGGATGGTGCCTCTCATTGACGATGTCGGCTGGGAAGAGGACACAGGAACGGATGCGTTCTACAAGACCGGGTCGGCGAAACAAGTTCAAACCAACGCTGTACATCTAAAAAGAGCCGCAACCAAATGGTTGTCATACCGACGAGTAAATATTTACTTTCACAGATACAAAGGGTAGCTGGGCTTGGATAGATCTCCTGAGCCAACTTTCATTTCGTAGGAAAACACGCGAAGAAGAGTTTCGAAGCTCATGACAACCAACAGAAGACGACTGATTTTCGTCTGGCAACCGGTTTGCATCAGAACTGGAACTCATTCTTGCAAAAGTAGCATGTTGACAATATTAGGCCAAAAAGACTGTCCGGATTTGTACTTCTTCTCATATGCATTCATAACTAAAAGATGAATATGTATAGACCAAATTATGTTTTCTTTAGCCAACTTCCATTTCGAGTAAAAGTGTTTGGTGAAGAGTTCGAAGATGGATTCCGCCAGACGATGACGGCGATTGGCTTTACTGGAGCATTCTTGCTTCCGGCTTTCGTCCATCTTACGACGGACGTTTTCAGAACTGCTGCTTCAAGATTGAACTAACCGATGTTGTACGACGCATGAAAGCCTGGTAACTGCTTCAACTCGACGTAATATCAACCCTTGCAGCTCTTCACCAAACACTTTCTCACTGGAAATTATTTTGTCATTTTTTGAAATAGTTTTTTTCTACTTTTTAAACATGCTACTTAAATGCGAATTAAGTAGTGCACCTTTTTTATCATCTCGTTCCTTGGGCTCAGATCATTTTGTGCCAAGCCGTCAACTTCGCCCTGCCGGTGCTGACTCGGCCGCTAAGTCTGGCCGAACGGACGATCGGATGGCCGAGCAAGCCGATGTACGGTTTCCTGACCGGCCCGACGGGTCGAATGTCCGACCAACTGCGTCGGCTCCACATGGAGGTGACCCGGTTGGCGTCGCAACTGGAGCAATGCGCCAGTCTGGTGGGCGCCAAGCTGCGCCAGGACGGCCGGATCGAGGCCTACTACCGGCGGTACCAAGCGGCGCACAAGAGCGCCGTGCAACAGTTGCTGAGGCGCATCCAAGCGCAGCGGACCTACATCGACAGCCTCAACAGCCAGAACGACGGACTCGTCGGTTTGATGGCGAAGCTGGAGCCGGAATTGTCGAAAGACGACGCTTTCCGTCGGCTCTCGGAAGACGCCGGCTTTTGGACGAGGCCGACTCGGTCGAGCGGCCGAGAAGACGATCGCGACGGCGAAACGATGCCGGTTTCGGAGGCGACCGATCGGACGGAAGACGAGCAGGAGGCGCCCGGCGAGAACGCCAACGACTCGGCCTCCACCGTCTCTGCGCCTCGTCTCTTTGGCACAAAGTCCCTATCGTCGCCGTCGCCGTCACCGTCGCCTTCGCCGTCGACGTCGCCGTCGTCGCCTTCGAGAAATGCAACAAGTCGTGATCAGTTGCCGACCCTCGCCGAATCTGCGCCTCGCCTATTTCGCAGAAAATGGCTCAAAGACAACTCGCTCTCGCCGTCATTATCGCCATCGCCATCGCCGTCGCCGTCGCCGTCTGTCCGCGGTTGCCGGTCGGCCGAGGCGCTGTTGCTGGGCGTGACGAGCACCCCGTACGGCGAGGCTGGGCGGCCGGCCGACAGCAACAACAGCAACGAGCCGACCGACGCTGGCTCGAGACCCGCCGAGCCGGCCTCGTCGGACGAGACGGCGACGCACCGGCCTCGCCTCGTCCAGCAGGTCGCCCAAGTCGTCTGCTCCGAGTCGATCTGCCTTCCGGCCGGTCAGTTGGTACGGCTCAAGCGGGAAAAGGGTCTGCGTGGCGTCGGCGAGTCGGCCGGATCGACGAACGAGGCGACGGACAGTCGCGACACGATGACGCAACGTCGCCAACTGGTCGACACCATCTTGAAGGCGGACGAGCGTCGGCTACAAGAAATCTTCGTCGCCATAACTGGCCAGGGGGAGGTGGAGGAGGCGCGCTGAGCCGGCAATTCGACAGCCCCACGGACTCGAGAGTGGAGCTGACGACCGGTCTCCGTGACGACGACATGTTGAAATGTCACTTGGACTGCTGCAACTTTAAGCCATACGCTTCAATTTAGAGTTGAAAGCCACGAGCAGGCTGTGCCGAGTGGATGGTATGGCCTCCAGTTTGTGTAAAAATGCCACATTTGCTGATTTCGCGACTTTTTGATCGGCTTGACCATGCACGTTTGGCTGGGCCAACCTGTTCGGGGACGGAAAAGCTCGCTGTTTCCGCATGAACTTGGTCGTTCGAGAATGTCCAAAGTGTCCACACACTCGACAGATCACTGCTTGGCCAAACCGTGAAGGCTTTCTCCTCCCGGCCGGACTGAACGGATTACTCTGCATTTGCCTCAAATTGCGGAACTCGAAAGCGAGTTGTGGTGCTCCAAAATGTACGACACATTTTCATTCGTCACACACTTCGGTTGAAGGATTGTCAATGAGGCTAATTTATTTGCATTATTACAGACAGGACTACTCTTATTCGCAGTGAGTAGGCTGTTATAATACCAGCAAATATTTTATATGCAACTTTATTAAGCCTCAATGACTAAATGAGATTTAAAGAATAATAGCGAAGCTGTTTCCACAATCAAATGTGCGGGCCTCTCAGTTTAGTTGAATTCCCTTTAGGTTTTCACATCTAAACTTGACTAAACTGCAGGCTCTACTTCACCATTTCATCTCATCAGAAGCCCCAAAGTCATATAAAAACTCGAAATGCCACTACCACTCGTCACAGCCACCACGGCCAGTTGGAAGTTCCTAGGCGAGCTAAACGTCGTGCCAAAGTGATTCTTTACAGTAGACACGAAGAGAAAGTTTATTTCGATGATTCTCCTGAGACGACATTGTTAGGGTAACCTTGACTTCGAATGAAAGTGCATGAAGAAGAGATTCATTGCTCGATCTCACCACATCAGCACGGATGAATCTCGTTTGGCTTTTATACCATCTTCATGTTGACGCAGTCCACTAGACTTCCTCCCTCGTTTCGGTTGAAAACGTGTTGACCTTTCGCCCATCATTCGATGTCATTCTTGTAAAAGTCTCACGTTAACACTAAAGCAGGAACACTATCTGGCTCAATCCTACTTCTTGTATAGACTCAATCGAGCCAAAAAATAAAAACTAAAAGACCTAGATAGCTAGATAGATAGGTAGATAGATAGATAGATAGATAGATAGATAGATAGATAGATAGATAGATAGATAGATA